GGGGGGGGGGGGGGTTTGTGAGAAGTTTTGGAGAATGAATATTTGAAATTTTTGCCCCGATTTGGAATTAGATTCGGATGAAACTCGTATATTTGGACTTGTATTCGAATGGGTAGTCAGAATTTGTGAATCTTGTCAGGTTTCGGGGTACGGGTCCGGGTTACCTTTTTGCAATTTGATAAAGATTGGAGCTTTATTACCTAGAATTAATTTTTATAGTCGTGTTTGATGTTATTGAGTTGTTTTTAACAAGATTCGAGTCGTTTGGAGGTCGATTCGCATGGGAAGATTTTTTTAGAGTATTGATTCACGTGCTTTAAGGTAAGTAACTTGTTTAAATTTGGCTTGAGGGTAATTTACATATTGGCTATGATATTTGAGATATGTTGGGAGTGACGCACGTTCTAGGTGACGAGCGTATGTGCGTACACTGGGATTAGTCATGATCGGATAGATCTTAGGATATTATGTGCCTTGTTTTGCTCTCATGCCCCATTATTTCCGTGTTTCTCTACTTGTATGACTACTTGAGCTAGTATCATGTCTAGGCTATGTGATTATGTTTGAGACATGATCGTCTATTCTTGCTATATAGAGCTATTTGCCTTAATTGTAGTCATACTCTCTACCATGATGTTACATTCGTGTATTATACTCTATCTCTATGCATTCCTTATATGTTATCTCATATGTTGTTGATGCCCTTATATGTGTGATACGATTTGAGCTGAGTACTGTAAGTTGTGAATAATTGAAACTTGAGCGGTTGATTACCGAGATTTTACCATAAAGCAGATTTGATATTGATTATAAGGTGACGCGTATACCAGGCACATTGGGTTGAGTGGTGTTGATTGTGAGGTGACGCATGCACTAGGACCCGTATTAGGCTAAGTGATATTGATTGTTGACTTAAATATGATTAACGCTTGGGAAAGGATCACCCTTTCGGAGTAAGGTATTAAACGTGGACGCAAGTATATGGTCATATATATGCTTGGGTGAGGGACTTGTGTTAGGAACCCATACAGCGCTGAGTATTTTTGTGTGTGATGGTTGAAGGTAAAAAGTTCCACACACTATACATGTGCTGAGATTTGATATACTTGATGATTGACTGCAACGTTGTTGATATTGGCATGTATACTTGTGATGCATGTACCGGGTTGTGTTTCTTCCCTTATGCTTATTGGTACTTAATGTCTCTATTTGATGTGTTGAACTTGGAATCACAATTAAATTGATAAAATCATGTCTAGATGAGTTCTGCGGAAGAATTTATGCCTTAGCTACTATTCTTGAAAAACATGCTTAGTATCCTTCTATTTGTGAAAAGGTTGAATTTAATATTAATTGAGCTACTTTTATTTACTGTTATTGTTCTATTATTGTTGTAGTCGATTATTTGAAATGAGTTGGATCCCAACTTGTCACTACTATTAGCTCGGCGTTAGGCTTGTTACTTATTGAGTACATGGGGTCGGTTGTACACATACCACATTCTACACTTTATGTGCAGATCTAGGTATTGCCGAAAGAGGTGATTGCTAGCGAGTGGCACCAGTACCAGTTCTTGGAGATTTCAAATTAGTTGTTGATTCTGTTCGGAGGCCTTGAAGTCCATTTTTCCGTTGTTTATGTTATTATTGTTATATCTTTCAGATAGTTCTGTATTTTGGATTAGACTCTATATTTAAATTTTGTAGCGCTTATGTACTCCGTGACACCAGATCGTGGGATGATTTTATATATATTGTTGTTTTAGACTTCAAATATTTATGATTTTTTCCCTTTGTTGGGATTATTCATTTCTATTATTTAAGTTTGCTCCTGCTTATTGAATGTTGTCTTTCCTAGTAAGTAGTGTTAGGCACCGTCACGCCTTTTGTGGGATTTGGGGCTGTGACAGGTTAATATCAAAGCACTAGGTTGCTTAGGTCTCACGAGTCATGAGCAAGTCTAGTAGAATCTTACGGATCGATACGGGGATGTTTGTACTTATCTTCGAGAGGCTACAGGACTGTTAGGAAACATCACTTTCTTTCATTCTCTATCGTGCAGATTTGTTTATCCCTAAGTCTGAATTTTTTATTTTCTGTTCTCTCACATATGGTGAGGACACGATTTTTGGGTACATTTGAGCAGGCGCCGGTACTCCATGCTAGTGCCGTGAGAGGCCGAGGTCGAGGCAGTGCTAGGGTCAAAGCACGCACTGTAGATAGAGCCCCTGCTTGTGCAGCTGCTGTGGAGCCACCAATAGTACCTGTTGAGGAGCAGGCTCATGATTATGTGTAGTCGGAGGTACCCGCTTAGGTTCCCTAAGGCTTATTTGTTTCACTAGTTGTTCAAGATGCTTTGATCTGCATGATTAGTTTGTTCGACAGTTTAGCTCGGGCCAGGGAATTTCCTACTATACCAGCTACTTCCCATACAGGGGGTGGAATGCAAACTCCAACTACCCGTACCCCAAAGCAGGTGACCCTTGGTTATCAGACTTTTGCAGTGTTACCGGTTGGGGGAGTTCAACCTATTATTGCCGCCCAGCCTCTGGATAGGCCCACGATGTTAGCTGATGAGCTGAAGAGGTTAGATAATTTCACGAAGTTGCATCCTCCTCACTTTAGTGGTACTCAATCAGAGGATGCTCAGGGATTCTTGGATCTGTCATTAGATTTTGCGTAACTTGGGACCAGTTGAGTCCAATAGGGTTGACTTCACCTTCTTCCATATGCGCGGTCTGATAAAGAGGTGGTGGCAAATATATTAGATGGGTCAACCAGCAGGATCACCTCCTCTTATATGGGATCACTTCTCCAAAATCTTCTTAGAGTGGTTTGTGCCACACACCAGGATAGAGGAATTGGGGAGGCAGTTTGAGTACCTACAGTAGGGTCAGATGTCAGTTATTGAGTATGAGATGAGATTTACAGAGTTGCTCTGTTATGATATTACTTTGGTTGCCACTAAGGAGGAGAGAGTGAGGAAATTCATTGAGGGTCTTTACACTAGTATTCAACTTGCTATAGCCAGAGAGACTGAGACCAGGACTTCTCTTCATAAGGTGGTAGAGATAGCACGTCAGGTAGAGCGCATCAACATCGAGACTGGGAGATGATGCATAGTAGGGACAAGAGGTCCAGATATTCAGGTAGCTTTAGTGGTGCCTCGTCTGGAGTCGGAGATCGATTTGGGATAGGGCATTCTAGCAAGCCAGTTTATTAATCACTAGCACCCAGTTGAGGAGCTTCAGTGTAGTCTTCATTCAGTGCCCTCCCAGCGCAGGGTCTTACCGCGCTCCGCCAGTTCAGGGTGTATCAGTACCTGATTCTTCTAGTGGCTATTCTGGTTCACGGGATCCAACTTGAGCCCCTTAGTCATTTCCAGTGAGAAATTTCTCTGAGTGTGGAGAGTTGGGGCATGTAAGGAAGTATTGTCCCCATCTTTCTAGAGGTCTAGTACAGCAGGGAGGTCAAACTATGATTCCTGCACCAGTTGATACACCACCCACTCAGCTAGCTCAAAGTGGAGGTCATCTAGGACGTGGTCGTCCTAGAGTGTGAGCTAAGTCTAGTGGGGGTTAGGCAAGATGTTATGCCTTCCTAGGGAGGACGGAGGTTGTTTCTTTTGATGCAGTGATTACATGTATTATTTTTGTGTGCCACAAGGATGCTTCAGTATTATTTGATCTTGGTTCTACTTATTTTTATGTCTCATCATACTTTGCTTCTTGTCTGGATATGCCTCATGGTTTACTTGATGCTCCTATGCATGTGTCTATAACTGTTGGTAATTCTATTGTGGTGGATCGAGTTTATCGGTCATGTGTGGTCACTATTTATGGTTTTGAGATGAGGACGAACTTCCAATTGTTAGATATAGTGAAATTTTTAAGTGATCTTGGGTATGAATTGGTTATCTCCGCACTATGCTATTCTTGATTGCCATGCTAAGACCGTGACATTGGAGGTGTTAGGGTCGACAAGGTTTGAGTGGAAGGGTTATCTTGGTTGTACTCATAGTAGAGGGATCTCATTCTTGAAGGCTCACCAGATAGGTCAGAAGAGATGTTTGGCATATTTATCCTTTGCTAGAGATGTTAGTGCTGATACTCTTACTATTGAGTTAGTTTTAATAGTGAGAAAGTTTCTGAATGTTTTTCTACCAGACCTACCTATCATGTCACCCGATAGGGATATTGATTTGGCATGGGGCATGTTGCCTATCTCTATTTCTCCATGTCGTATGTCTCTTGCGAAGTTGAAGGAATAGTTGCTAGAGTTGTTGGATAAGGGGTTCATTAGACATAATATTTCACCTTGGGGTGAACCAATGTTGTTTGTTAAGAAGAAGTATGGCTCTATGGGAATGTGTATTGACTATTGGCAATTAAACAAGGTGACCAACAAGAACAAGTATTTGCTGCCATGCATTGATGATTGGTTTGGTCAGCTTCAGGGTTCCAGAGTGTTCTCGAAGATTGATTTGAGGTTGGGGTTTCACCAGTTAAAGATAAGGGCTTCGGATATTCCTAAAACTACTTTTCGGATTCGTTATTGGTATTATGAGTTTTTGGTGATGTCATTTGGGTTTACTAATTCCCCATCAGCTTTCATGTATTTGATGAACAATGTGTTCTAGCCCCATTTGGATTTGCTTGTCATTGTGTTCATTGATGATATATTGGTGTATTCTCGTACTAGGGAGGAGCATGAGTAGCATCTTAGGATCGTGCTTCAAACTTTGAGGGAGATAAAGCTATACGCTAAGTTCTCCAAGTGCAAGTTTCAGTTTGACTTGGTGGCATTCGTGTGTCATGTGGTATTTAGTGATGGGATCAAGGTGGAACCTAAGAGTGTTGAGGCAGTTCAGAGTTGGCCCAGACCTTCTACCGTTACAGAGATCAAGAGCTTCTTGGGTTTGGCCGGTTATTACCGTCGCTTCATAGAGGGATTTTCATCTATTGCAGCCTCATTGAATAAGTTGACTCAGAAGGGCGCTCCGTTCAGGTGGTTGGATGAGTGTGAGGTAAGCTTTTAGAATCAAGACAACTTTGACTACAACTTCAGTGTTGGTTTTGCCTTCAAGATTGCGGTCAAATATGGTTTAATGTGATGCCTTTACAGGTTGCCATTGGGTATGTGTTGATGTAGGAGGATAAGGTGATTACCTACGCATCGCGCTAGTTAAAGCCCCATGAGAAGAACTATCCACTGTATGATTTGGAGTTAGCAATTATTATACACATGCTCAAGATTTGGAGGCATTACTTATATGACGTTTCTTGTGAGGTATATACAGATCATCGACATCTCCAACATCTGTTTAAATAGAAATATTTGACTTTGAGGTAGGTTAGATGGTTGGAGCTATTGAATCATTATGATATCACCATTCTTTATCATCTCGGAAAGGCCAATGTGGTAGCAGACGCCTTGAGTAGAAAGACGGAGAGTATGGGGAGTTTAGCATTTATTCAAGTTGGGGATATGCCTTTGGCTATGGATGTTCAAGCTTTGGCCAAGAGTGTTTACCCTCAAAATCAGATAACAATTGAATTTATATGTGGTTTTAAGGATACGTGATCTAACTTGATACAAAATGATAAGTCAAATTAAGATTGAAATTATTGATAAGAAAAGTAAATGCAAACCAACGAAGTTGAACAATCTTGTCCTTGAAGGTTGATTACCCTTGAGTCAAAAATGCTACAATCGATTCTTGAATAGAGTAATGAGATAATAATAACTAGAAATGATAGTTTATTGCTTTGAGATGCGTGTTACAATGTCTTTATCAAATAATCAGACCCCCTTTATATAGTAGGGGAGTCCTACTTTAGGTACAACTCTATATAAGTTAAAAAATCTCATGATTTGCTAATTAATCGATTCCATTGATACATGCCGAGATTCCCGTCGTGATGTGCGACTGGTTATGGATATTTTGGCCTTCCGTTATTTTGGTTCGATGATGTTCTCTCGAGCTAATTCCGAGTCAAAGTCAGTTCCGGGGCCACGGACTCGATAATCTTTGAAGGCGCATATTCTACCCTCATACCTAGGTTCGATGGAATCCAGGGTAGATATTCAATCCATTATGTTTCATCCCCGGTATGTCATGCAATAGGCGAGCTCGATTTCTAGCGTATATAGATAGCCCCCTCATTTTTCGGAGAGTAAATGACGAGAAACGATATAAACCTCAGATTCTCACTATACGAGCTTCTGATTCTCACTCTGATAAATGATGATAAATTCATGACGTAAATGATAAGAATAGTTGAAGCATCCCGTCAGTCCAGTCTTCGAGGCATTGAATGTGTGTCAGTCAACGGTCTGCCACTTCAGGATACGAACCGTTGTTTGAGAAAACTATAAATACCCTTTTCATCCATTCATTAGAACTTTTACATTCAAATATTTGCACTTGTGTTTTAAGAAAACTTCATTACTCTCATCTTCAAACTTCTTTCCTTCTGGTTTTCTGAAAGCTTTCATAAGTTATCTGCTAATTACACCTCCTCTTTTATTAGCACCCTCTTTTATCCTCTATTTAGAAGTAATGGCAAAGACTTCAAAATCCATTCCTAAAAAAGAAACTCCCTCTTCATAGAAACCGACTGAGAACGTTTTGCCTGTTGTTACTGAGGAATCGACACCGAAACCCCTTCTAAAGATGTTTGTCCCCACAGGGTGTCTAACTGGAGCCGATTGTAAGGTTGAGAAAACCTCCTCGATACTGGGGCGGTGCAAACCGGTCTCAAGATATATATGTTCGGTCACCGATAGTGTTCTCGACAAGGTTAAGGAGGACTGCAACTGGGTCGGTAAGCACGTAGTGGTTCCTACGCCCGAGGAAGCAATCACCACCCGCATGGAGGGTGTTTTTAAGAGTTTACACTTATCCCTTCATGTTGGGCCCTTTAGACCCGGTCATCATCGCCTTCTATAAGAGGTACGAGGTGACCCTAGGCCATATTCATCCCTCCTTCTAGAGGATACTCATCCTCCTCCATTTTTTTGTAAACAAGATCGAGGGGTGCCCCTTCACCATCGATCACCTCATGTATCTGTACAGTCCCCGACTCTATCGAGGGGGGCTAATAAAACTTGCCCGTCGGGCCAGTAAGGCCACGTTCTCGAGTATTGACGAGGATCGGGATCAAGGCTAGTTGGGCGGATTTGTTCGAGCGAAGACCTCGGACTTAATCTCGGCCGAGGACATTCCATTTCCTGAGAAATGGAACATGAAGGGTAAGTATAATCTTGCCTTTAAGATTTTGTTTATCATTTTTCTTTTGCCCTTCTTCTTATCGATTCTTTGTGATGCAGCTATTGCTCAGATGCCGGATGCAGTTCCTTGCTCAAGGAGTGGGTCGAGGGCATCGTGTTGCAAAAACCCTATTCCGAGCGCGCGTGGCGCGAACTTTTGAAGGGCCGGTGGGAGGCCCGTGCTCACGGTGAGATTTCTCTACTGAGTGAATTAACACTTAGTTTGCTTATCTACATTCGTTCTCACTTTTTCTTCCTCTGTAGGTCTTCCCAAAGATTTCAAAATGAGGCCTCTGTCCGGTGATGAAGACATCCTCCCCGAACCATCTGTTCTGAGGCAGGATTAAGAGAAGAAAAGAAAAAGGGCTCCGAGTTCTTCGAATTAGGAGAAGAAAAAACCAAAAAAGAGATTGGCGCGCAAATCCAAGGAAAGTGCCAGTGCCCCAGAAGTCCCATCAGATTCTCTCAGTTGACTGATGGACGAATCCGAAGAAGAAGAAGAAGCCTCCGAGCTGATGATCCGCATGAGAAGTGGTATCGAGCTGTCTCAAACTGGGGTAACCGATGAGGAGGCGGTGGCCGAGGCCTTCGAAATAGGGAAGGACGAGGCCATTTTGCCCCGAGCTAGGGAGGTCGACAAGGAGACCACGACCGGTACTCCTCGGACTGAGGGAAATAACCCGAAAGATGCGCCCGGGGTGATATATCTTTCCGGGTCACCATCATTTACCAACTCCATGATAAACGAGGCCCAGATGCTGAAAGGACACCCAAATGAGGGGCCTCAAGGGGCGGCAGATTCCTTCAACAACTTCTTCGATGGCTTTATATTCTACCACATTGGAGGATGTCACCGGGTTAGGAGACTTATCGGTACTAAAGAAGGTGCCATCTTCAGGAACCAGCAGATCTTCTTTGAGTCCGAGATTAGTAGGCCGGTTCCCACCCCCGAGTGCAGATCCTAACCGAAGTGGTCAATCATCATATCTATATCGGAGGATGCCCGGGTTCTCTTTGCCCCCATGAGGGTTGCCACCTATCTTAGATGCCTGGTGACTGAAAAGGATCATGATGAAATGGACGAGGTGGAGGCCCCTTGTCTTTTCAACGAAGCTCAACAGGCATTGAATCGGGTAACTTCAAATGCCTTTTTATTATGTACTTAAATTAAATTGCAAACAATCGTAACATCCTTCTTTGTGTTCGCAGGCCTCGGTGCTTCATCACAAAACTTTTCTCCGATATCAGGAAGAGTTAAACCAACACGAGGCTGAAACTCGGGTGCTTGTTGAAAAGAGGGATGCTTACAAGATCCTTAGTGAGAAGCTTCAGTCCAAGCTAGATGAAGCTCGAAAGGAGCATGCCGACCTGGCCGAGCAGGTAAGACGAGTATTTGAAGTTAGTGACGATGATTCAGACATAGTTGTTAACAACCCAAACCTGCATGTTCAAAAGAAACTTGACCAGATCGAGCAGCTCCAAGCGGAGGTGGATACGGTGAAGGCTGAGGCTGAAGAATGGAAGAAAAAATGGACCGCCTGGCCTGAGAAAAGGAGACTGCCCATGCACAGTTGGCTTCATCCGAGGTCCAGCTTTGGGCTGCAAAGCAAAAAACCTCGGTACAAGCCAAAAAGATCGAGGAGCTTCAGTCTCAGCTGAACTCGGCTATCTCCGGTCAAGAAAAGGTTGCCATGGTCAGGGCTGAGGCCGATGATAGAGTGGCTCAGCACAAGGCCGATAACGAGGTGGCTCAGGACCAAGCGAGGCATATGGTGAAGCACACGAAGTGGAAATACTGAAGGGAGTCCCTTGAGGGAATCCATGCTCAAGATTTTGATTTATTTGCTGAAATCGAAAATGCCAAGATATACGAATCCAAGGCCAGGAAGCTATCTTATCCAGAGGAGGAAGATTCCGAGGGGTCCAAAGATTCGGGTAAGTCCGATGGTGGCGAATACCCCGTAGGCGATGATGTGGCCCCTGATGAAGACTAGGCCATTTAGGATCTTTTTAGGCTTTTTTGCCTTTAGTTTTTTGTATCATCTTTTTGTTGAGTCTATTTTCGGCCTTTGTAAAGAATTTGTATCGGGGCTATTCAGCTCTTATAAAAATAATTTTTGATATATAT